TTTTTTTCCGATTCTCTTTCGATGGATGCGAAAGTTGCACGGGCGAACAACTTTTCCTCTACGCGTCCCGTGATCCACCTAATTCGATCCCCCCGTTTCGAAATACAGGTGTCCGCGCAAAATGAGAAAGGAATCAATTTAGGAGATCCTTTTGGAAATCAGAGCGTGGAAAACGAAGCTGAAACGCGATTAACAATTTCTGATCGAAAAGGAAAATAGAGATTTCGTGTGATCGCACGCACGGAGAATCGTGATCTCCATTTTGTATTTTAAGTTTTTTTGACGCGGATGAGTTATTTCTGTCGAGTCGTTTGAAATGTCTCAAACTGCGTTTACATTAGGCAAAAGTTTTTGAACTTATGTTTTGCGGTTACTTTTAATATTGTGTAACATTGATCGATCGATAATGATCTATGAATTGCGTTTTTAATTCATGAATATAAATATGTAGATTATGTTATTTTTTCAAAGTGATTTTTAGAAATTAATTTTAATACAATAGCGATCTTAATCCTTTTATATCTAGGAATTTTAAAAATATTATCGTCCTGATTTCGTATTAATTGTATATTATATAGACAGATAAATAATGATAAAATATTAGATATTTTTTAAATATGCATTTTCATTGAAATAATAAAAATCGGTAAAAATCTTTATTCTATATAAAAAGTAAAGATATCTCATTCCTTTTTAACGAATTACATATTTTACATGTCGATGCATTATTACATTACCTTCAAAAAATAGATGTATTAAAGGATATAAGGTTTTCCTCAATCAATTAGTTTAGAAGAGGTTAGAATTTTTGTTCTGAACGCCCATGTATAGAACATTGGATAGAATCAATTACTCACGTAACCACTTTTTAGTGATCGTATCGACGACAAAAAAACCGTACCACAAGCTTAATATCAAAATGAATTTCGTGCAAGAAACATTTATTGTTGCTTTTTTTATTATATACTCTACTTACAAGTAGCAGTAGATCGATTACTTTTATCCTTTACCTTTGAAACTCTGATTTCAAATTACTTTTTAATCAATTTTTTGACCGTCCACAAACAATCACACATCGTTTTTCAATCGTAATTTTCAAAATAGTCCGTGTGAACGAAGCTTGAGTCGCTCATAGTAAGTATATACTGACTTCCAATTAAAAATATTTCGTGTATTTTCAGTCGAAAGAAATTGGATTAAAAATGAGACGTATTCAAAACATTGTGATGATTTGTTTAAGACGGATTAAATAAATTCGAATAGGATTCTGGTGGTGAGAATTCAATGGAATGTGGTATAGATAAAGATTCATCGAAATCGTGCGTCACGTATCTTTGTCACACTCGAATATATGTATATATAGATATGTACACACCATTTTATACGTATACGTCACATTGGACCATAGCTTTCGCCGTTTCCAAGCACGTCTCAAATTGCATTTCCTTACGCACAAATTCTTCCGCCCCAATACCCCAGGATTCGCAATATTTCCACGCTCAAAGGCACGTCCTTTTAGTTCGACCCCCATCCTGATCCTCGGTCTCACCACAGCCTGTTCTACATCCTGTGCATATCGATAGATCGACCACCTAGTGGCTTCCTACTGGTTCCATCTCATTTGCCAACCATCTCCTCCTCTCCCTCCCCCTTCTGCCCTTTAACTGATTCGCATCGTTTAAAATTTACACGTGTAAACCACGCATATTTGGATATTGTGATTACAAGATCATTTAAAAAGTGGTAATTAATTGCAATTGCAAGATTTATAAATAATTTATAATTGGAAAATTAAATTACACTTTTTTTTTTAGATGTATGATTAAAATGTTTCGATTAGAATTCGCAAAGAATTGTAATTCATCATTGGATATAATTGATTCAAAGAAATATATATGTATATTATAATAATTATTTGATTTTTATTAACCATAATCAAGGATTATCGATAAATACATAATCTTTACCAGAATTGGCAGAGTATAAATTAATATTAATTCGCTAATTTCATTTTCAGACAAATCAATTAACAAAGTTTAGTAGTCCCCTTAAGGGAATTAAGGACTGAACCGAACTTCAATATCATCTATATGTATATACCACCGAAAAGACGAGGAGGATATCGATCAAGGGATGAAAAGGAAAGAGAGAGAGAGAGAGAGAGAGAAAATTCATGAAAGGGGGCGAAATATGAAAAATGAATTCGAACGAGAGGAAAAAAGAAATGATAAATAGACCAAGGGGCGTTATAACCGTTTAGCGAGGGAAAAAGCAAAGATGATCACCCATTAACCGTTATCGAATCTTGGAAGCCAGGAGAAATCGAAGGATAGTGAATATAAATTATCAGAAGAACTGAAAGTAACAAAACGAGTACAAATTTTTGAGATTTTCTTTTTTTTTTTCGAAATCTAAAGAGGATACTCTTAGAGGCTTTTTTCTTCCCTTAATTTCCTTCTTTTAAAGCAATCAAGAGGGGAACCTTGATGGAATTTTTTGCATCCGGAAATGGAGGAAAATTCGCTCCCGTGGGTATCGATATCGCGTTTGATTGGTGCTTCTTCTTCTTCTTCTTCGATCGATTTCACTTGATTCGATCGAAACTCTGCGGTAATTTTCAAAAGAAGAAAGATAATTTCTCGATCTTGCGCAAGCAGAAAAGTTTCTTTCGCTTTCAAGATATATTCGAGTTTGATTATTTGAATACATTATTTCAATTCGATCTTGAAATATGTTTTCATGGATCATAATTTAAAACAAATATTTCGACCAATTATTTTATATCTCTTGTCTTATAACAATAGCTTCTGAAATAACTTTTATTTTGGTCAATTTGTATGTGCAGTTTTGGAACGAAATTAAGAAAATAGTATTTGCTAATTCATTTGTTAATTCAATATTTTTGTCTTACAATATATATTCCTAATACCATAAATACCATTTTAATTTAAAAAGAAATCTTAATAAACACAGCATTAGAATATATATATATTGGTAATCTAGAAAATCAAAATTTCAGAATAATGATCTTGGCAACATATTTCAAGATCATTAAAATCAGAGTTCTATTCCTCATTCTGTATAATTATTGCATGATAATTCGCGAATGTTTACTCGATTTTCCATAATACAAATTAATGATTCATCAACATCTAAGAATTGAAATGCAAATTTAGTTTGATTAGCTCTTCCAATAATTTGTTTTATTGATTGAAATTGTTATATAAATGTGTCACATTTCTAACTATAGAATTCAGTATTCGAGCATCGAGTTGAGAGAACAAAGTAATAGAAACATAGTGATAGAAATTACCGAAATTGAATTGCCCTGTAATTTCCTCCTAATGTACCCACTTTGTCTCACCGGAAATGAGTGTGGATCCGATACATCCGATATAACGACTAAGGGCAATCTTTTGGGAAATGGAAAAACATTTGAAATTAATTTTCGTTAAGATTTGCAAGAAGGCAACGATTTACAAGTATAATTGATATATATTCAATTTTAAGGAGAGATAATTAACAGTTTATGAGATATTTAATTAGGTTAAAAATTATTTTTGTAGAGTTATTTAAATTTCATATGAAAAAGAATTTTAAAGTTTATGATATATTTTAATAATTTCTCTTTTAATTATATTTAATTATTTTTAGTGTTGGATTTTTGTACTTATACTTTTTATATTTGAAATCACAAGACTATAATACATTTTTTTTTCTTTATATTCTGTAATGGAATGTCTAAAATACTGTAGAGAGAAGACGTAGATAATTTATTATTGGCTTAAATTTCAATCAGATATTTTATAACATTAAATATCTCATAAACTATCAATTCATCTATGCCCAAAACTTATCAGATTAAGTTAGATTAGATTAAATTCCATTAGTTTTCAAATAGATTAGATTTCATTAGGTTTCAAATCCATTAGGATCAATTTTTTTAACATCTAACAAAGAAAAATTCATTAAGAAAACGACATTATATTTAGAGATCTTATTAGACATTTTGTTAAACAAATGTTAACAAGAAGTGTAACGACACAAACATTGCATGCAACTGATAAGCTAAATATATACGCCAATTGCGAAACGAAAGTTTAATATAGTGTAGAGCTATTTCAGAATTATCCTAACCATGACGTTATTACTTTGGCCGAATGTCAAAACAATAAAATCACCGTTCCATTTGGCAAATCTCTCACCTCATTTCTTTTATCGATTATAAACAGTAAGAGTTACAATCTTTCCTTTAATTTCCTTTAACAGAATGCAAATTGTGGATTTTAACAGTTGTTTAGATGGTCCATCGTACCAAGATTAATATCACCGTACTTTTCCAATATCACGTAAACATAAAATAAAATTGTTTCAAGATATTGCGCCCTGGTTTAGTAACGATCTCTCTCTTCCTCTCTTTTTTTTCTTCTCCTTTTAAGAGTTACAACCGTCGCCGCTTTGACGATAATTACGCTCCTTTTACAAATTATAATTTCTTGAAACGTTCATATAGATCCTGTAATTCTATTTCCTTTTCTGGTAATTATTTAAAAAAAGATGTACCATTCTTTGATCTTGGTCATTTTCTTAATATAATTTTTTAATTTTCAAGGATATCATTCTGAATAATGTTGTTCATTAATAAATTATTAATTAAAATTTTTCTTCGAAACGATCTACATTATTTATTTAGTTAGATCAATTATGATAGTTTTAATCAGATTTATTGCTACAAAATAACTGATAGGTTGATAGGTCATCGAGAAAAATAGTCGAAATCCAATGCGAGTCATTAAATGAATTTTTATTTAATTTTGATTTGAGATGAAATTAAACTTTAAATCAACACAAATCAATTGACGTCAAATAAAAACTTATTTAATTCCTAGCTTCAAGATTTTTTTGTTTTTAAATTAGGTTAATAACTTTTTAATCTTGATTAAAAAAATCAGAGATCTTTTTATATTTACTTTCCTCTTTTTTTGTTTTCTACTACTTACCCCTCATGTAGATGTAAGCGGTTCCTCGCATGTTGCGCCTGGTAAGGACTATCAGATTTAAAATATTTCCAACGATGCCAAAGCAACAGATGGTAGGCAGAACAATGCCGTAGCTGATTCGTTTCAACGACGGTATTCGAGGATCCTCCATTTGGAGATCTTCCTGTAAACGACATGTCTCTGTCACATTCACTCCGTCGATCATCTTGTTCTCTCTCTCCCCCTCACGCGCTCTTTTCCTCTCTCTTGCCCCAGATCGTTCGATTAAATCGTTCATTTCATCTTACATTCCGTGGATCGAAACTTGGAGCATCGCTTGTTCCATGAATTAAGCTGTCAGCTTTCGTCCTAACTTTCGTCCGCCATTTGTTGATGTTTCTTTCGATCGATCGAAGAATTTCGAGCGAAGGGGATCACGGGGGAAGTAGTTTGCGATGCAACAGGTGTAACGATGAACCGGTGTTCATTACGGGTTTCTTGGACACTCGAAAAGTCAAGACACGTCTCGTGCTTGATTATCCTTCGAGGCTTATCGATACGATACGATAATTCGTTCCTCTCTATTTCACCGAGGAATCTGAACGAGCCCTTCCGGATAACTTGTATGCCGCCATTTTCTATCCTCCACCGAATTCTCTCGTGCTCACCTGAAAGCAAAGAATATTTTTCGATTCAGAAAAAAAATCTTCGTGTGTTATCTTACGTTATGATTGTAATAAAAATTTGTGTAAGGTGTAAAAAAAAAACTGTATAACATTGGAAAAATATTTTTCAGAACAAGATAATAGAAAGAGAATATTAAAAATATTCTGAATATTTTATATATTTTAGATGTACCATTAGAAATTTTTAAAAAAGAAAAAAAATATTGCAAACTTAAGAAATGATTTTAATCTCTGGAACTGATATTTAATTGATAAAAAAAAACTGTATTGCATACAGAATATTAATATATTCGTGAGAACTAATTTGTTTTGGTCTTGAGAATTGATCTTCTAAAAATAACGAATATATTAACATCTTTATTATGCTTTGTATATTCGTAAAAATTCTTATAAAACTTGTTTTTATAACTATTATTTTGATAACATTTTTTTTAGTTGAATGTACATGTGTGTAACTGACTGTATCACAATTATGCAAATATCGATAAAAGATTTATAGTTTCGCATTGCTGCAAGAGAATCGAGGTAACGAGGAAAGAAGAAGTGGCAGTGCCAGATGGAAACGGATATAATTCACGTTTCTCTGTAATAACAAAGTTTTCCGTAAGAAAATCTAGGATATATCTCGATTGTGGAATGCACAACGTGCGTGGCAAATTGAAGGAATGAGAATGGAAATGCAGTTTAGATATAAAGTTATGCTGCTCCATTTGAGTAACTTGTAAAATTTTTACAAGTTAATCTAAAGAATATTTATCAAAAATTACATTCAGAATGGTTATCCAAAAATATAACTATAAATCATCATTAAAATATAATTTTTCGAGATTAATTCTTAGCAATTATATTCGTATTCACATCCTAACACATAATAATTTTCAATCTCAATTTAATGTTCATTAGTGAAAGCTAACTCTCGACAATTTTACTTTCAAATATATATTCCTACGTAATAAGAAATAATTTATTATTAATATAAATCGTATCACTATAAATGGATTAAATCTTGATATTTATAAAATTGATTTATAGATATCAGTTTTTATAACACATAATTATAGTTTTCAATATATCGACTATATGAGAAGATAATAATAAACGTTTAATAGTTTTTCATTAGTTTATACGCTTTGATCAAATTTAAATATTATTACTAGAAATCGATCAAAGTATCTTGATAACTTATAAATATACTATAGTTCAGGTATCTTAGCTGATATAATTTATAGTTTATTGGCATTATAGATAAAAATAATTTTCGACAATTTTACTTTCAAATATAATTCATACTAATCAATTCACTCTCCACTTCGTGATTATATAGTGTCTTTTTGCGCAAATAAGGTCTTGCTATACTACTCGAGAAAATTCCCTAGATAAACCTAAAGTTACTATGTACATTTGTTTATTTCGCACACATTTCTACGTGTTGTTGAATCGAGTTTTACACGTGTATTTTCATATTTTAATTTATGGTGGCGAGACGCGCGTTTCAAAAATATTTCACACGAACGTTTACGAGCGAGTTTTCCACGCGGTGAAGATTTTGCGCGAGAAACGAGTCCGAAGAAGCAGAGCGCAGAAAGTATCATCGCGGTCGGGAGAGTTGAAGAGATAAAATATGAAAAGCAAAGAGGGAGGCGTAACTTTACATCTTTTGCGGATTTCATAAAAATTCTCATCTCTTGTACCACTTTTCTCTTTACACCAATACAAACACTTGCTGCTTTTCAATCTTTTCTTCGAGCCGTATCCTTTTGTGGATGAATTAACTTTTGTTTTGTTTTTTTTTTTTATTTAAACATTGATTAATCCATATTATATATCTACATAGCAGCAAAATAAAAGTATTGGGTTAATTGCCGATGAAATAATTGAATTCTTGATAAGATAATTAATATAATTTTGTTGAAAATGATAGCAATTAACTTTTGTTTTGTTTTTTTTTTATTTAAACATTGATTAATCCATATGATATATCTACATAGCAGCAAAATAAAAGTATTGGGTTAATTGCCGATGAAATAATTGAATTCTTGATAAGATAATTAATATAATTTTGTTTAAAATGATAGCAATTAACTTTTGTTTTGTTTTTTTTTTTATTTAAACATTGATTAATCCATATTATATATCTACATAGCAAAATAAAAGTATTGGATTAG